CGTGCTAAAGTGCCCTCTTTGGAGCCAAAACGTGCGCTAAAGTGTCCTCTTGGCAGCCAAAACGTGCGCTAAAGTGCCCTCTTGGCAGCCAAAATGCCCTCTTGGGAGCCAAAACACACGCTAAAGTGCCCTCCTGGGAGCCAAAACGCGTGCTAAAGTGCCCTCTTTGGAGCCAAAACGTGCGCTAAAGTGCCCTCTTGGGAGCCAAAACGTGCGCTAAAGTGTCCTCTTGGGAGCCAAAACACACGCTAAAGTGCCCTCTTGGCTGGTTAAAACATGATAAACTGCCCTCTTGGGTGGTAAAAAGCCAAACTATATCTCACAGAACCAGTTTGGATTATCTTGTGCTAATATGGTGTTAAAATGCACTAGAATACAGGAAATGGCATCTACTTAATTGAAAATTTTCTGGGGGAGGACCCCCAGACCCCCCCAGGGATTTATATCTTTCATACATCCATGTCTCTGTGTGTTCTTCACAGTCCAACGTTGAATCTACACAGTTCTTGTGGATGTTGATCCTAACTACAAACTAACTTGAGTAGTCTGTCTAGTTAGTCTGTTTTAAGGCTATATAATGTGCCATTTGTATAACATATAAACATGTCTAAAGTACCCTCGAAAACACGCAGAACTTAGGGCCCTCTTCAGCGGCGAGAACGCGCTGTATGTGCCCTTTTTTTCCTTTTCGCCCCTGCCCTTCAAAAAGTCTGTGCACGCCACTGCTGCCCTGCAAGCGTGCTGTGTTTACATGGCAACTCGCGCGAGACTCGAGAACTAGCACCACCACTAGCCATCAGCTAGTCTCGCGCAAGTTGAGAAATGATGCTATAAAAGTGGAATAAATTACGTTATCCTGTTATCCTCCGATACCCCGAACAAGTTTTGTGGATTAAAAAGCTACACTGGACGTCTTGTCAACATGAGGGTCAGTAAGTACTGTCTGTATTTTCTTTCTAAAGTGGCCATTTCCTTTAAGCCTGAAATTGATATGAGTTGATCAGAATTTGCTATATTTATTATTTATTAGAAAACTATTTACATACAACAATCTCAGAATTGAGCTTCAGGTAATTTTTGATCAAAATCAGTGTTTATTAGCACTTTTGCAAGAGGAAACGTTGGAGCCAAATGCCGTAACATTTCATATCTTTCCAGATATTTTCAGTGTTTTATTTGTTTTGTACCTGACATTTTAACAGACGTCTGACTCTGGATCGTAACAGAGGACACATGTGTGACAAAGGAAGTCTAAAACTGTGTATCAGAATGCAGAGATTACTGCAAAAACAAAACATTTGTACAAAACTTCCAGCCTACATCTGCACCCTCCTGTGTCTCAGCTCTGCTAGTTATTGGCTACACTCCTCCAGGTGGTTGCTTTTAATGTACCCCGGGTTTTAACAGATCTGGGGAAAACTGCATTCTCCTACTGTGCACCTTGGACAATCTCCAAAAAGATCTGAAATTAGAAACACTAATATCCATTGATGAATTTAAGGGCATCATAAAGAACGTGGTGACAGAGACATGCTTGTTTTTTTGTACTATATATCGTATTTGTTGCTACCTCGGCCAGGTCTCTCTTGTAAAAGATATTTTCAATCTTAATGGGTCTTCCTGGTTTAATAAAGGTTAAATAAATAAATAATCTGATCATGGAGAAATTTGGCTGTAAAATATAAAAACAGGACCCCATGCATAAATAAAGGAGACACTCATTTTTGGTTTACCCCCATCGACAAAGCTTTAATATGCCCCTGAACTTCTGCTGACTCACATCGTGTTGAAATTGCCACTGTGGTTTTAATATAAATGGAGGAACATGCTGCAGAAAATGAAGGTGATGCATAATTTAGTTGTGCATTCTTAAGAATATTTCAGGAACAAGAAGAGAAACTGAAAGTGATCCATTTCTTTTTCAAATTTAACCAACTTGTGGCGACAGAAATCATGTTTATGTTCATCAGCGTTATTTTTTCTGCTTCTCACTAACAACAACATCAGATTTTGTTGAGATATTGTTGTTGTCAGTGACCTGTTCAAGTGTTACCATGGCACTGTCGGGTCATCCTGCTTTTCCAAATCCCGTTTGGTTCCTACAGGTGACAGGAATCCCCTATTCATTGAAGTTTGTTTCGTTTTACACCAAGAGGATGACATTTCCCCAAAATCTTCTCTTCTGGTGAACCTTATCACAGCCTTTCTCCTCTGGAAATACGTCATAACATTTAGTTAATAATTGGCAGTAATCACATTGCTGTGGGAGTCTTTGGCTGTTATTCGTGTTGCTGTGGAGCCTGATCCAACACACAGATAGACAATGGTCTGCAGAGTGTTGTAAAGAGGAAGAGTACTCATACAACAATAAGTGAATCATAGGTGTAGATATAAAACAGTCTCTGTTTATCTTGGTTTGTATCTGTGGGCTTTGAAACTATGTGAAAGTTCCCTTTATCTGATTATCCCTGCTATATGTGTGTCATGTCCTCCTGGATGATTTATTCCAGGAGAGGTTTCAGTGCATGCTCCAATACCTTCAGTGTGTGACGTCATCCCTTTCAGTAAACAGGCAGTGATAGCCAATGTGGACATTAAGCTGCTTCGTGCTGCCACCCAGTGGTCACATGTGACACCTTCAGGTCTGGGAAACAAAGACAAGCTGCCTGTGCACCAAACCAGCACTGGGGAGAGGGGGAAGAGAAATGTCATGCACAACATGATGAAAATAAATAGATAAATAAATAAATAAAGGCTATGAAACAGATTTTTAAAATAAAATTTCCATTCTGGGAAGTGGAATTTCAACATGAAGTCGTCTTACTACAGCCACAGGGTGGGACCATTCATCACCACAGTGTCTGGAAGTTCTCTTTCTGTATTCTTTCATCTGCCTGAAATTAAATTGTAAAGAGCAGAAAAAAAGACAAAAATACAATTCTGTAAACAACCCTGAAAGAAATAATGTTAATGTTAATCCTGTAGGTGCAGTGAATATGTCCAACTAAACAGGGAGCTCTTACTAAATGCTAAAAATGCATTTTTCTCTTTAAAGTGTCAAATCTATGGAAAAAATATTTTTTTAGCATGTTGGAAGTTTGGTTTTATTCACCAACTTGTAGAAAAGATTTCCACACTTACATCTATGCAGTGTTTTACTTTATTCTTGAGCAACCTGTGGATCTGGAGCCACATGTGTCCTCAACGGTTTGTCAATAAAAAGAAAATAAATGTTATTTTTTAACATCTTTATTTTTCATACATCATTGTTCGAGGACTGAAGTCATTTTACATTCTCCAACTGTAAAAGTATATATATTAATTAAAAAAACACATTAGCATTTCTTCAAATAAAATGTGCATCATATGTCTATGACCTGGTGCCTTTTCCTCTAAATTTTGCTGAACCCTACTGGCGATGGCTCGTCTTGAGTCTCCCTAGCAAGGCTAACTATGGATTACAGATCCATGAAAGGAAGACAGAGAATTTGTGTGCTTTTCCCGCCCAACACTGCAAAGTTAAAGTAGCAAATAATCATGAATAGCCCACTGCAGAGGAGCCATCTTGTGGTAAAAGATATTAGGGAATGCTCATTTGGAGCCATTGGTAATGTTGATACCTTCATTATAAGGCAAAATATGCTTTGCAGCTCGACACAGATATTTTTTTCCTTTTTTTGGCCAAAAATAGCTCTTTTAATTGTAAAGGTTGCCGACCCCTGTATTAGACCTTCATCAGGGCGTACCCAAGTACTAACATTTTGTGTTGCTCAAAGCATTGAAAATTACATTTAAAAGAAATTCAACAGCAGCATCTCTTTGTTTTTAATTCACACAGCACACTGTGAAAAGTTTTTATAGACTTTTTCTTTGGTAGAAATTAGTTTCAGTGTCTTCTGTCAGTTACTGAAGTGACCAAACACTAAAGCAGCAAGTTATGGGCGACTGTCTTCATGTCACTGGTGTGTACAGATCAGGGATCAGCAACTTTTATTATTAAAAGAGCCATTTTTGTCCAAAAAAAGCAAGACAACAGAACAACAACAACAAAAACTGTGTGGAGCTGCAGAGCTTATTTGAGCCTTCTAATGAAAGTATCTAAATGAGCCTATCAACACTACCAATGGCTCCACTGAGCATTCATTAATATCTTTTACCACAAGGTGGCTCCTCTGCAGTGGGCTACTCATGATAATTTGCTACTTTAACTTTGCAGTGTTGGGCGGGGAAAGCAAACAAATCTGTCAGCACACTATTTTTTTTTAATTTGGAATCGATAGTTAGCCTCGCTAGGGAGACTCCAGACGAGCAGCGGCCATTAAGGTTTGGCAAAATTTAGAGGAAAAGGCGTCAGGGTGTAGACGAATGACACATTTTAGTTTAAGAAATGTTAAAACATTTTTTCAGTTGAAAGCTTTTACAATTTATATATATA